GGTGTTTGGTAGAAATTTGGCGACGAGTGGAGGTCCAACGTCAGGTAGAAATCCGACGTTAGTTGGCAGCCGGGGAGAACTCCAACATTAGACAGTTTTCGGGCAAAACACCAGTGTCTCTTGGAGATAGGATAGAATTCAGACGTTGAGATCGGGCAGAGTTTTGGCATAACTTGAAAGTGGGGCGGAACTTCAGCGTAACTTGGAAGTCCAGCGGAACTCCGACGTCACTTGAAAGTCGGGCGAAACTTCGGCATCACTTGAAAGTCGGGCAGAACTCCGGCGTTACTTGAAAGACTGACGGAACTCCAGTGGTGGTCGAGGAGGAGCTTCTTCCCTCTTCTTCCCTTCTCCTCTCTTCTTGCTTGGGCTTGGGTCCCTTCTTAAGAGAAATGAGGAGTTGTTTATAGTTTTTTGAGAGTGGCATAACCTGTAAATAGGAAGATGATCAAGAGCAAATGGGGAGTGGATTGGATGGATGACCGATATTCAAGTCCTTGATCGTGGACCGTTTGTCATAAATTTGAAGGTCTTAATGATATCAGAATTCGACAATCTTGGGCTCGTTGGATTCGTCTCATCGAGCCGCTTGATTTGACTATAAGCATGTCATATTTGGAAGCTGTTTAGTAATCCAAATTATGGATTGAACCTTCTGAATATGCTTCGGGTCTTCGATTCAAACCCATTTGGGATCGGATTGTGTTAAATTTGGTGTCGTTGGGTTCGTATTTCTAAGATGCTCAGCTCGACTATAAGTTTGTTAAAATCAGAGTTCAGATGATCCCATATTTAATTTTTGAAGCTTCCAAATTGATTTTGCTTCGAGATTCGTGTCCAATCAAGATAATTTTGATGAAATATCAATAACTAAAAAATATTTTAAGAGCAATAAATATATAAAAGAACTACATCTTATTATTATAAAAGTATATTCAAAATATACAAAAAAATTATAATAAATATATTTTAAGTTACTTGATTTAAATTTAAATATTATAATCCTCGTCTAATGTAATTTGTTGGCTTTAATTACATAAATCTCCTATAAACAAGAAGTTGGAGTTTTTAAAATAATAAATAAATTTGATGAGATTTTTAATTAAAAAAAAAAACTAGTAATGCAAAGATGGAGAGAGAAAAATAGTCTCATCTCTCATGAAGAGAGAGAGAGAGAGAGAGAGAGAGAGAGAGAGAGAGATAGGAAATATGGAGAGCTAAGGGCTAGTAAAGGAGATCCCTAGCTCTAAAAACATTTAGAGAGAGAGAGAGAGAGAGAGTATGTAAAAGAGAGATGGAAAGAGAGAATGAGAGCCAATGAGCATGGTGTAAATGAATTTTTTTTGTCAGATTTAAAGTGATTTAACTTGAAAAACAAATCCTCTAACTTGATACTGGATGTTAGGTTTGACGGTATGCTCTCCTCCTCTCCCGTGCTCTGAAATCTTAAATCCGTCCAACTACAGGGTTTATTAAATCCCAAATTTACTGAAAAAAACAACCAGGCAGGATTTATTCCACCCTAACTTCCAACGACCCCATAAACAAGATTTAGCGTAAATCCTGCTCAAATCTTGGAATAAATCCCATTACCAAACAGCTCATAAGTGTCGGAATTTGTTCGTTTGATGTCAAGAATAAAATAAACCTAAACTTGTAAACACATTTCGCATATGTCGTTAAAGAGATTTGGTCAGATAATCTAGGTTTAAAATCAAGGTTTTAAAAATCGGACCAGACCGATCGGTTCAACTGTGAACCGACCAGTTGTCCGATCCGATCCAATTCAAAAACCGGCAATGCAGAGAACCGACCTGAACCGGACTAAACCGACGGTTCAACCATTGAACCGACAAACTGGTCCAAGTTCAAAAGAACCGGTCCAGGTTCAAAAGAACTGATCCAGGTTCCAAAGAACCTGCCAATTTTAAAATTTTTTTATGTTAAATAAAATATAAATAATATATTTATTTTATTACATTTAAAAAAATAATTTTTTTATTAAATAATGAAAATTTTAATACCATATTTTAATTTGTTATAATGTATATTATAAGAATCTCATTTATTATAATTATAATTAAATGTAAAAATTAATCATAATTAAATTATTTGATATTCATAAATATAACATAATTAAACTATATGCTTTATAAATTATAATTATATTATAATTATTCATCATTTCAATTTAATTTAATTATATTGAGAGATAATTTATTAAAATTATATAGTTTAAATTCTTAGAATTATATTGTTTGAGGTTAGATTCCCGTAATTATTCTATTAATGTTATTATTTTTTAATAATATTATTATTTATTACATCATATGGTTTGACCCCGGTTCGACCGGTCGAACCTTGAACATCTTCTTCTTCCGGTTCGTTGACCGGTCCAATTTTCAAAGCCCTGTTTAAAACGTTAAAGTTCTCTTATTAGTTATTTCAACATCCAATCTCATAAGCACATGAACATGTTGATGAACACGAAAATGAGAATTTTGAGTGTATGACAGACATAGTTCCAACACAAGTTTATGAACATGTTCGTGTTGATAATTATATGTATTTGCCTGATGGTGAAAGTGCAACAGAAATGACAGAACTTCAAGATAATATCGCAATACAGTTGTACAACTTTAGTAGGTAGTAGATTAAATAATAGTTAATTTTAAATATTAGAGAGGACTCATGTTATTTTTGTTTGTTTATGTTATTTTGATGAAATAGGTAATGCCTCTTAATTTTTTCTTATATATCTCAGGTGTGCATATGAGATGTGATGCTCAAAATGTGGAAGTTGAAGGAGAGTACCTTTGTTATGAAAATGCTGATTTCAGTTGATTGTTATATTTGTTGGAGTGTATGTTCGTGTCATTGTAATAAATTGAGTTTGCAAAGTTGTGTTTGTTTAATTTATTTTATAGATGGTTTGTGGACATTATATACTTATGATTATAGTTTGGTGAAAGCAGATTATGTATTGGTGTTTCGTAATAGTATCACATATTTTGTAAGTATAATATAAACTTCATAATGTGTTTGTTTAAATATTAAGCAATATGCTTATGTGAAAATTATTTGTTAAAAAGTTAAAGAAAAGGACAAACATATTAGATTTCAATATGGTTGAGCCGATTTTCATGATTTCCAGGAGATATTTGGAAATATTTGATTGACATTATACGGATTTTAAATATTTACTACTCAGACAAGCTAACCAACACTCTTCAGTGCACAAAGGTTCAACATATTCAAGTTGAAATAAAATGCTATTTCAGAAAGTACATTTCTCTTTATATTTCTTTGAAGCATATTATAACATTCAAGTTGAAATCTTTGAAGCATAGTATCGTAAATCTGCTATTACTGTTTGATTACAACTTAGGTTTAATATACATATGATAAATATGAGAATAACAATTTCTTACAGAAGGGCTGACATGTATTTACAGGTCTAGTCTATATTGGTCTTCATTTTGTCATTTCTGCTGATAGAAAAACTTATGTTGCAAGCTATTGGTCTGATCTCATTAATATATACAATATTATTTTCACACATTCTTGAGTTCTACATCAATAATTAGAAGTCATGCTAATCCTTCTTTCTGCATAATAAATAATTCAATTCAGTGAGAATCTTCAAACAGTTGGAACATCTTTTAATTTTATCCTAAATAGTTGATAGGAAACAAAATATTGATGTAAAACTGATATCCAATTGTAACTACAAAAAAGGGAAAATAACAATTTCAGATAGTTGAAACAAGAATAATGATGATTGAATGACTATGCAAAATCCTGATTCATGCCCTTCAAAATAAGAAAGCAAATTCTATTGGCATAACAAACTACAAATACGGTGAAAGGAGCATTGTCTTGATGCCTTCTTAAGGCTTCGTTTGGTTCCCTCGACATTTTTTCTATTCTTAAATGGAGGTATTACAACGGAGAAGTAGAAATTTTTTTATTCTCAGATCGGCAAAAATACGGAGGCATATCAAAAGGTATTTTGAAAAAGTTGCATAAACAAACATTAAAATAGTAACTCTTTCACCGATTGAAATCAGAAATGGAAAACTTATGGATAACCAAACGAGGCCTAAGAGAGATAAAGCTAACGAATGTTTTATTTTTCTCCACAGCCACTCCCATCTTTTGTTTTAAAAAGCTGCAATGACAATGAGGAGATATAATAAAATTTTGATTGAATATATGACAAGACAAATAAAGAAGAATAACCTGATTGAATATCTAAATTTTTTTCTTCGAGCTAGCAGAAACATCTTCACCGACCTCATCTCCTTCATGGGCTTGCAAACGTCTCAGTAACTTCAAATCAGAAGCTTACAACATTAACAGTCTGATAGAATTCAATTATAAAGTTAGTCTATATTTAAGAATTACATAATAAAGAAGAGAGAACCAACTCTAGAAGATGTCACTTCTATGAAGTGAGCTGTGTCAAAAAGGAAGCACAAAGCAAGAGTGAAAACATATATAAGCTAAGGATAGTCGAAATAAGATATCCAACACAGAAGAGATCAATAGAGACATGGAAAGAGAAAGTCTCACTATAAACTTCAACTGAAAGATCACCAATATAACAAAATATAGGAATCAAGTGATGAAAGAGCTACAAGTTCGAAATGTGGACTCAGGCGTAAAGAACCAACATCCATAAGAATGGCTCATCGAGAAGGATCATCAATACCATACAGAAGGTGGAGAAACCCTGGTTGTCGCAGGACCGTTGAGAGAGAAATGGTTGCCGGCACTTACCACAGAGAATTGATCGCCATATTAGATGCGATTTTATGGTGGTTTCGTATGTACTTACTATTAAGCAGAGGGCAAATTTATCTTTTATGATGAGAATGGCGGAGTGTAATATATATCAAACGTAATTAAGTAGCTTTTTAGTTTGAGTAACCAGCAAAAAAGAAATATAACCAAGCATAAACATTTTTTTTAAATAAAATTTGTAGATACTCTGTTTCGTCAATAATTTATCTACAAACTTATGCAAAAGGATTGTAGCAACCAAACGAGCCCAAAGTTTTGCCGTTGTTCCCTATTCCTCCCCTCTCGCTTCAGGTTTTCGGAACCAATCCCGTATCCTCTGTTCGCACACCGCAGGCACCCGACCCTTCTCTCTTACGCTCCCGTTTGGTCCGCTCCAAGGAGGCCGCAAGCCTCACGATCTCCTGCCAAACCGAATTCCCACCCTGCTCGGCCCGTCCAGAGGAGCCGCAGGTCCTCGCAAGCGCACGCTCGACTCGGCTCGACCTTCTCTCTGCACAGAGTAAGAGCAATCCTTTTCTCCACAAACGTTCAGAATGAAAGGGGCTTTTGATTTCCTTTCTCTATATCCTTTGTTATGATTTGAAAAGATGAAAGAGCTTTTAGTTTCGTTTAATATTTCTGGAAGAAATTTTTATGAAACCTGATCTGTGAGTTTGCCTCTTCTTCAAAACCGAAATGGATAAAACTCTAGGTAAATACGTAAGGGATTTGCATTTCTCTTGTTGACATGAATGAGGCTTCTATTGTATACAATCCAATGTGTAAACCCCCAAAAAAAATTCTGAAATATACATCTTTTTGGTGTTTTATTTAAAGCCTATCGAAATCAGAATTTGTATATATAAATATCGGACTTGTATGCTTGTATAAATAAATATATGAGTTGGAAAGAAAAATAAAGAATTCATGTATGTTCATATATGTCGAGGATGATGGCTGATCTCCCAAAATCCTTATCCCCATGTAATGCTTATGAGATTGTGTACTACTTTACAGCAGATTTCCTATTCTAGAAAACAGAGAAGACATTAGGAGAAAGGGAAACCAAAACACTCATTGTATTTTACTGTGTCTTGTATTACACGGAGGGCAGCTTATATAAAGCTGTAGCTTGTACTATGTAAACAGAAAGGAGATTGTTCCTTTACATGTGTATGACTTTGATGAATTGGTTTGTTATTAACTGATGGTGTAGATGATATGAGCTGGTTCCCTATCACGTGTGCTGTTATTACCCCCCTCAAACTGACGGTGGTTGTTGAACCGTGAGTTTGGTTCGCAGAAATTGGAACTGTGTTAGAAAGATGTTTGGTGAGGATGTTGGCAGGTTGCTTAGTAGAAGCAATAGGCAACAGATGGATGCACTTTGCTTGGACTTGCTCGCGAGTGAAGTGATAATCGATCTCTATGTGCTTGGTTATGGCATGGAAGACTGGATTGTTGGCCAAAGCGATTGCGGACTGGTTGTCGCATTAGAGAGTGGTAGGAGTGTTGGCCAAAATTTTAAAGTCCTGGAGGAGTCTTTGAAGCCATATAATATCGGTTGCCGCTGCTGCCAGTGCGCGGTATTTGGCTTTGGTGGAGGACCGAGCGATGTAGGCTGCTTCTTTACTGTCCATGAGATTAAAGTAGAACCAAGAAATGAGGAGTATCCGGTAGTAGCGCGGCGGGTATGATGTTACTTGCCCAGTCGGAGTCGGCAAAGAAGTGAAGGATTAGAGAGTCCTTCGTGATTGGTAGGCCATAGTTGATGGTCCCCTTGAGGTATTGGAGCAGATGTTTAAGCCACTGAGAGTGAAGTGGAGAGGGATCGTGCATGTGTTGACACAGTTGGTTAACGGCGTGAGCTATGTCTAGGCGAGTAATGGTAAGATAATGGAGTGAACCGGTTAGGTGGTGGTATAAGTTAGGAGGGAAGGGTTTGGTGGCGGACTAGGGGGAGTATGAGGAGCTAGCTGATGTGGGGTTTATGGTAGGATTGCAGGAAAGATAACCTGCCTTGTTGAGGATAGAGATGGTGTATTTTGCTTGAGATAGGAATAGGGAATTGGGATGATGAGAAATATCAATGCCAAGGAAGGTGGATGGACTGCCCAGGTGCTTCATAGAGAAGGTGGATTGAAGGGAGTGTATGATGTGTTGTAGATGAGAGGAGGAGGATCCGATAAGAAGTATGTTGTCGACGTAGATAAGGAGGTATGTGGGATGAGGAGAGGAGGATTGTATGAAGAGGGAGGGATCGGCTTGACTTGGACGAAAGCCGAGAGATATGAGATAGGTAGAGATAGTGTGGAACCATTGACGAGGGGCTTGGCGGAGCCCGTAGATGGCCTTTTTGAGCAGACACACGTGATGAGGATAGCAAGGATCCTGGAATCCTTTAGGTTGAGTCATGTAGACAATGTCGAGAGGACCGTGAAGGAATGCATTCGACACGTCTAGTTGATGCAGTGGCCATTGCATATGAGTGGCAATGGTGAGAAGGACGCGGATTGTGGGTATTTTGGCAACGGGGCTGAAGGTGTCGGAGAAGTTCAAGCCAATTTCTTGATGGTTGCCGAGGGCTACCAAACGAGCTTTATAATGGGGAGGGAGGGGCTGTTGTTGGGTTTGAGTTTAAACGTCCATTTGCAGCCTAATATAGGTGCATCAGGAGGTTTAGGAATCAGTGTCCAGGTTTCTTTGGACTTGAGAGTTGTGAATTAAGCTTGTATAGCACAGTTCCACTCGGGATGATGAAGAGCAGCTTGAACAGAGGTAGGTTCAGTGACTGATGAATCTTGGGTAAGGAGATTAAGTATTTGGCGTGGTTTGAGAGTACCAGTACTGGACCTGGTGATCATAGGATGTATTTGTGGTATGGAGGCAGTGGTGTCTGGTAGGGAGTTTGTTGATGTGGATGGGGATATTGGTGTGATGTTGGATATGATTGGGGAAGGTGTTGGAAGGGTGGGGGGTGGAGAAGCAGGTGATTGGGAGTTGCATGTAGGGATGAGTGTAGTAGTGGGAGGGGAGGACGGCCGTTGGTGTAAGCTGGATGTGGGAGTGAATAAGAATGGGTTAGAGGACGGGCTGGAGTCATCGTTTGTGTTGGAGAGGATTGATAAGGAAAGATGGATTCATCGAAGCGAACGTGTCGTGAGATGAGTATCTTTCCGTGGATTGGTCGAGGCAGCGGTACCCTTTTTGATTGTCTGAGAAACCAAGAAAATATGCAGAGCTTAGACATGGGCTGAAGCTTGTTGCGATAAGGAGGTGGAAGCTAGGGAAAGCAGGCGCACCCGAAGATGCGGAGATGGCTATAGGTTGGTGGTTTATTAAAGAAGAGCTGATAGGGGCAGCATTGATTAGTGATGGTAGATGGCATCCTGTTTATAAGATAAACGGTGGTGAGGGCTGCATCAAGCCAGAATTGCTGGGGAAGATTAGCATCGGTAAGTAGCATGCGGGTTGTCTCCAGTATGTGACGGTGCTTGCGTTCTGCAAGCCCGTTTTGTTCGGGAGTGTAGGGACAACTTGTTTGGTGGGGAATTCCGTGTGTCTGAAAAATGAATGAAGAGAGTGATTGGTGTACTCCTTACCGCCATCAGAGCGAATGCATTTTATGGTGGTGGATGGTTGGTTTTGTATGAGCTGTGCAAAGTTTATTAGGAGAGGAGTTACTTCAGATTTTGCACGCATAGGAAATAGCCAGACATATCGTGAGTAATCATCGACAATTAGTAAGTAATAGCTAAATCCTTGATTAGATAGCGTGGGGGAAGGATCCCATACATCGGAATGTAGTAAAGATAAAGGAGCACATTGAGAATTGCTGGAAGAAGTAAAAACAAGCTTGTGACTTTTAGACGCCATGCACGAAAAACAGGAAGATAGTTGCATCGGAACGTGTAGTTCTGGATATGTTTTGGAGATGATAGACATGGTTTCGGAGTGTGGGTGGTCGAGTCGATGCCAACAGAGAGCTGGTGTAAGGGAAGTGGTGAGAGCTCGGTGATTTGAGGAGGAGGAGAGTGTCAGCGGGTAGAGACCATTAGTGATTGGGCCTTGGTGGATGCAGTGGTTGAACTGATTGAAGATTTTGTAGCCAAATGCGTCAAAATGAAGAGAAATGTTGTTATCCTTAGTGAGCTTGTGAATAGAGATTAAGTTATGAGAGATATTTGTGGTATGAAGAAGTTGTGAGAGTAGAAGCTTACCATTTGGAAGTGGTAGAATACCTTGACCAGTGTGGGTGATGGGTGTGCTCGAACCGTTACCAACTATGACCTGCTCAAATACGAGATAATCCAGTGGTTGTTGAATGTTCTCAAGGTGCGGGGTGAGTGAGACGTGGCTCCTGTGTCTAGTATCCACTCGTTGGGAAGAGAGGATGAGGTGACCAATGATGTTGATCCTGGGAATGGAGCTGGCGTGGCTGTTGCTTGAGGAATGTAGTTGGCATTCATGTGATGCCAACATTTGAATGCAAAGTGACCACGCTTGTTACAGATTTGACAGACGAGGGGAGATGCGGGTACTGGGTTTGGCGATGGTGGTCATGATGAGGTGTTTTGTGGAGAGCGACTGTGTCCACGTGAGCTTCTTCCCCGGTAGGTGTATAAGGCCTATGCAGGGTTAATGTTTAGCTGGTGTTTGGTGGAATCAGCCAGCAGATTAATCTCTTCACTCATGAGTAAGGAGTAGAAGTTATCAAGACTTAGCAGCAGAGGGTAGGTTCTAATAGTAGTCTTGAAGGATTGGTATTGTGGTGGCAGCCCATTGAGGGTATAAAGAATGACATCTTCCTGATCTACTGTATATCTAGCTGAGGAGATGTTGTCTACTAGAGTTTTAATTTCCGTGAGATACTGGCTCATGGATGATGTCTTCATGGAGACATTATGCAACTCGTTTTTGAGTTGGATCACACACGATCTGTTTGAAGCTTGAAGTCGGGTTTCTAATGTTGTCTAGATCTCGCTGCAGGTTTGAAGATTATGAACATATGGTAGAAATGATGCCATGAGAGTTGAACAGAGTGTTGTCGCCAAGTTTCGATCAATGAGGAGTCATTGTTTGTATGCTGGGTTTTCACGAAGTGTGGAATAAGTATTAGTGAGTTGCTGAGGTGGGATGGAGCTGGTGCCGAAAAGGAATCCCTCGAATCCATTAGCAGAGAATAGTTTTAGGATTTGTGATCTCCAAGTGGGATATATTTCATTAGAGAGGAGGGTTGGGACTATAATCTTGATGTTGGATATAACAAACTTGAGAGAGGAGGGAATTTGGGGAATAACGAATGATTCTACCTAGGAGGTTTCGGATTGCTCCATAGTCTTCTACCGCTAGGTATCAAAGCTCTAATACCATGTAAAACTTTACAGCAGATTTCCTATTCTAGAAAACAGTGAAGACATTAGGAGAAAGGGAAACCAAAATACTCATTGTATTTTACTGTGTCCTGTATTACACGAAGGGCAGCTTATATAAAGCTGTAGCTTGTACTATGTAAACAGA